TCTGCCAACAAAAAGGAAATATTAAAATATATGTTGCTGGATTTCCACCCGCGATCTGCGGCTTGTTAGTCCAGCGCTTAAACTGGAAAACATTTTATAATTATAATAATGATCATTATTATTAGTATTTTCAGCTTCCAAATACCACACTGTGCCAGCACTGTTGGTGTCTAATGATTAGCCAACTACCAAAATAGGTGGCATTGATATAATGGCAGGGCCACCAGCTAACAGCCGCAATGAACTGAGCTCAGCTGAACTTAGCTTAACTCACACTCAAACTCAGTTTCAACTGAACTCAACTCAACTCTTTGTCAAGCATTTTCAATTTCGTTAATGACCCAAAAGTGCCGTAAAGCAATTTATACACGGTCAGGAGGGCTACGTGCCCAAGAGCTGAGCCCAGCTCACTGACACAAGACAAATAATAGCGCAGCAGGACATTGACAACAACACCCGAGAAACGAGAGCCGAACGATGAAAATTGAGAAAATGGGGAAAACAGACAGACGGACAGAAACACAGTCTATGGCAACTGGTCAGTAATTGACTGCCGTTGCCTTTGCCGTTGCAGTTGCAGTTGATGGTCGCTGGCTGTGTTGCCTGCTGGTCACTGGCCAAACGCCGATAATGAAGCGCAATTGTTGAACGTGGCAACAAATTTTTGGGAGCAACATACAAAGTGCAACTGCAACAAGCGTTCCTCTGTTTGGGGGGGAGGGGGCCGTAATTAATCATATTCGTGGCACCAGTTGCCGTCTACCAATCGACTTTTTTTATGGGCACTCATAAAGCATTGACGATATACTACCCTGGGTTATTTTCAGCTAATTTAAGGTGTTGCCTCCAGTGCAAGACGTAAATAAATCATTAATTTTGTTTGGCCAAACACTTGGAGACTTTTTACAAATGCATTTTGTAGAAAACGCATATATAAGTTGGTTTTTTTTTTCTCATTCTGGGACCGCCTGCGGTTTTGTGGGTGTTGACACACGTTTAAACGCAGGGAAATAGTCTGAGCCTGGGCAATGAATCACAAGATTAATGAAACGATAAGGTTTGAGCACTAAATGTCAATCTAGCAATCTGAAGAAGCCTCCGTTTCAAAGCACTACAAACAATTAACTCGGCCCCACCTACCGACAACCCAATCTACCCAAGTCCAACTCGACAGATAGGCCAACAAAAAGCCATTGAGCTTCATTGCCAGTTGAGTTTTTCCGCCTTTGATATTTGATTTGCCTTTTCCGACTTACTTATGTGTCTAACTGCAAGTATCAGCATCAAGTAGAACTTCGTTTGTGGTCATATTGCGTTTCACTTTTGCTCCACTTTCAGTTTTTGCGTCAATTTGCGTTGGGGGCGTTGTTTGCTTAAGTCAAGAAACTGGGTCACTGCTGTGACTCGGGGGCGTACATGTGCCTGGTGCCTGGGTTAGTGTACTTTCCACACACACAAAAAAAAAAAAAATCAATAGACCCGCTTGTAATTAGCTTTTGACTTAAAGTGCATGCGAAGTTCCGCTTCGGCTTAGTTGTAGCTGGCTGTGACTCATTTCCACGGACAATAAACCCATTATTACAATCCATTGTTTTGGTTTATTAGCATGCACACTCGCAACAGGACATTGAATTGAATCTACTTAAACTATTGAAATTTTTATTTTTCCCCTTAATAACACACTCATCCTATAGTCTTTTTATAAATAAGCCAGGAAACTTCTGTACTATATTGTGATCTTAGATTTATTCTCGTCTTCTCCGACTGATGCTCATCCTACAGCCTTAAATAATTTGTCCACTCTTCTGAGAAGGATTTTATTCCAATGCTATCTCTGAGAAGAAAATATTTTCCCAACAAGTAGCCTTTGTACGTGAAATCGCGTCTTCGACTATGTGAATAACTAACAACTACTTTATTAAAAATAAATTATTTTTGAGTTCATTAAATAATGAAATCTAAAAGTTCTGAGCATAACCCCACATTACTTGTTGTGTTCATTTGAAGTTGGCCTCAAACATGTGTTTCGCAATTAACTACAAATATTTTATCATTAATTGCCTCACACATTCCCAGCATAATTGCCGGCGCTGAAAATTCAATCCCATACACGAGCATAACACGCGACAAAAAGTGGCAACATTTGCATACCCTACAATTTCCGAGTCGCTTATCGTTGCCAAAAATCAAGCCACACGCGAAAAACCAAAAGGTTACTTAACAGAAAAAAAACTGAGCATTTAACCCTAACCGGCAAAAGCAAATGGGCCGCGGGTCAGCCGAAGGACCCTAATTTCCAGATCGCTTGTTGTCATGTCACGACAATTAAATATGTTCAGTGCGCTTTTGCGCGATTTAAATTAAGATAATGCGGCAAATTAGCGACCCGAAATGTTTGCATAATTATTGTACAACAATTTTGACTGTCCGAGTTATCAGTGAGCGTCGATCATTTGTCACAGATGTTACATTTGGGGTACAACTCAGCTCTAGGGGGTGCGCGACCCTGATGACTCGAGCATTTCCCAGTTAACTTTGTTTTTCTTTTCTCTCGCTCTTTTTTTTTGTGAACTGCGGTTGCTTTTAAGCAGCGTAACCTTTTAATTTAACCCTTGCCGCAACTTGTGGCATGACACCACAGAAATATGTTGTGCCAAAAAATTGTTTTCCCTTCAAGGTGACATATTGGTTTTGACGATAAGCATCGGTAAATGGTTGTCCTTATGGCATGTGGGCGATAGGGTTGACCCGGCTGGCAAAGGGTTCATGCACCACACGGACAGACATTTTCAGATGTCAAACAAAGGTGAGATTTGTTTTACGTAAGAAAAACGAAATCTTTGATACAAATGTGTAAATATATAGAGGTCCCATAAGTTTTTCCACTAAAGGATTTTGACCTCTTTAGATCTCTTTTAAGAAATTCTAAAATAAAATCTTTAAATATATATATCTAGGACAAAGTTAACGGGGCTCGTGAGTTGTGATTAAACATTCCCTTTAATAAGGCTTTTAACGTTTTAAGACAACCTTTATCCTTTTACAACCATGTCTATATTAAGCTAAGGTTTGGTTTGCAAAAATCAAAGCAAACATTGATAAATAGTTGAATTTTAAAGTAGGCTTTTTATAACTATATCGTAATTCCTAGAATGATCTAGAGAGCGAAGGGATGGATGCTAGGGAGAGAACTGAGGATGTGAACCTTCAAAAGTTGTCCAATATGCAAGGTGAAATGGAAGAAAATGCTAATGGAACCGTCTATACCGCACTCCCAACATCTGGGGTATACACAGATGTGAATGTGTTGGAGTAAGTGGATATATTACAAAAAGATATTTCTTAATTAATGTGTTTAATTTACACTACTTAAGGTGCAAACGTTCCAATTTCAGTGCTAATGAATGTAAGTAGCTTTGTATTGATTCATATGATCATATTTAACAATTGGTCAATTTATTCGCACAGACCGAAGCCAAAACGCCAGCTATGAGCAGAATCATTTTGACAGAAGCAACGAAGGGGCCTTCGGCTACTGTAACTATGCTCCATCCCAAGCTTTTACTGGAAATTGCCAAACTGATTTCTTCGACTGTCCAACTACTAGCAAAAAGGCAGCTAGTCAAAATTATGCAGTCGACTCTTGCTGCTGTAACCCAAGCCAGTCAGAGTTTCAATATTCCAATCTAGGCAATATGACAAATAACTTAAATATAGATCGTAATACTGCTGGAATGGTTGGCTTTGACCCAGCCCCTAATATAACTCCATCTTTGGACGGTCATGAATATGATGGACTACACAATACGAATCAAAATGCACAGCCATTTTATTCAGACCCTTCATTGATGTCTTATCATGGAATGACGAATCCAGATCAGTTAAATGCTTGTCCCTTCCACAACATGGATGTTTACAGCGCTGAATTTTCATGTTCAGGTGGAAGGGGCAATAATTTTAATCATTTCCCGAATGGAACTCTCATGGACCTACATATGCCTGGAGCCATGCATAAATCATGTCCTTTCTATAGTGCAGAATCGCCATCGCTAGGCGACAATTATGATGTCGGCGGGTTATTTCCCGATATGTGTGGCACCCAGCAGAGCGAGTTTTACGGTTTAGGAAACGGAAACGCTATGCACGCTCTGCACGGGCTGCCCTACCTAATGTGCCAAACAAACTAGGTCCAGCAGATACACAAGTGTTAATTGTTAAATCAGTAGCTGTTTGTAAGCGATGGAAATTAATAGCTTATAGTAAAGACATATATACGAACATGTAAGAAAGACAGAATAAATTCAACAATTATCGGAAAAATTAAACAAACTGTTTTTATATTATATCAATTTAAATGTTGAATTAAATAAAGGGAACACTTGGCCGAAAAAATCAATACCTCTTAATAAAATGCAAGACATTTTATTATTTTTTGAGACAATTCTGATACCATCTCAAAAAACTCAAATCCAGTAAAGAATTCGATCCCGAAAAGCTAGAGAAAAACACATTTGATGTTTTTTATAACTTTAACAATACCCAAAAATTGAAGACAAATTTTGTTTCGGTTATATTGGTTTTTGTATAAAATTGTATTTATTTTTGAATGTCTTATAAAAAACTTGGGTAATTTGCTTACAAATTTGTTGCAAGCTTTTTACATTTGATTAATTTTTTTTTTTGCTGCGTACACAAAATGCCCAAATAAAACAAATAATATCGTTTGTAATTTTGCTAAAGTCAATAATAATCGTAAAATATGCTTAAGATTTGTTTTCTTGTAATTGTATCAAAATTGCTTAAAATATGAAATTTGTATTTTATTTTTCTGCTTTCGTGAGTTTTTTACTTTGTTTTACTGTTGAGTTGTTTGCGGTTCGGCGGATTTTGCTTTTTCATAATTTGTTGTAGTTTATTGACACCCATTTTTTGTTTATTATTTTTTTTGTTATTCTTTGTATATATAAAAATTGTCTGCTTAGAATCTATTTTGTACAATGTAGTTGTTGTCTTTGTTGTATTTCATTTGTTACATTTTGTTGGTTCAGTAAGAATATCATAATTTAGTATTTGTTTTTTGTGTGGGGTACATTTATATTTTACGCTAGTAGAAATGCTAAAATTTGACATATAGTTGCATATACTTAGTAATATGTGTGGCATATGTACTTTAATGTAGTATATATGATAGTGTTTAGTGTTGTTTTGACTGTTTAGTTGTAGACACAGATTCTAATTAGTTAAATGGCTATATTTTAGGTTTTTGTTTTAAATCAAAATTTGTAAATGAACGAGTCCTGCAGCTACGCCTATTTGAACCAACTTTTACAACCCGAAACCTTTTACATCTGAAACTTAAACTTACAAAATGCTCACTGCTCAGCTCTTCCCCTCTCTCAATCTCTCTCGTTCTTGCCTTTTGGCAAAGATTACTACAAAAATTTGACACCAAAAAGTACCAATAAAATATTATATCACTTTCAGCAAATCGATGACAAATTTTGAATTTTCTTAAAAATCGTTTAAATACTCAAATATAAAATACATTTCGTTAGCACTTTCAACTTTACAAACTCCTCTCAACCAACTTCAAACTCCATAATCCCAAAAAATCACAATGCGCTTTGATTGAGCTGCCACCAAAATAACTGTACAATAGTCAGTTGTGTGTAGTCTTAGCGTCTCCTAATCAAATATCTACTCCCGTCGCTTCGCAGTCGCATCAGTCACATCTTCAACTCCATCTGCATCTTCTATGTTTGCATCTGCATCGCTTGTGCCGCTGCTGATCTCGAACGAGATTTGAATGACCGTCGGCCTGCGCTGTGCGGGATTGTAGCTGTAGAGGCGCAAGGCGTAGCAAAAGATTTGGGCCAACAGCTCCCAGCAGCCAAACTCCGACATGGACATGGCACCCTGTTCGCGTCCCAGCGGCACCGATATGTTGGCGCGAAATTGTGTATTGCCGGCGCGTTGTTGACGTTGTTGTTGTTGTTGCCGCTGCTGCTGCTGTTGTCGGGACTCGTGCTGTCTGGGATTCGCTGGACTGGAGCCGACGCTGCCTGCTGCTTGTTGCGCACTTTGTTGCCTGCTTCTGGCCAACAGTTGCGCCTGATCGGGTATAAAGTAAGCAATTGCCATTGTCTTGTGTATTTTTTTTTTTTTTTTTTTTTGATTTATCAAAAAACTGAAAAATTTCACTTATTGCACTTGTTGTCTATTTGCAAAGCACTTTTATTTAAGTCTTCAGAAAATTTGCACTTCTGTGAGTTTTCACCAAAACTTTTCTGATTTGGCGCCAAAACGGAAACTTTGCGATTTTGGCTTTCGGTTTTTACGTATATGGAAAGTACATTAAAACAATATGCCGTATACGAGCTGCTCTTGCGTCTGTTGCTGCCTTTTCCAAGGTTCTGAGTGGACTGACTGTAAATATCCTTGCCGCAGTCACTTTTATAAAATAGCTGCGCCGGGCAGCAGCAACGACGACAGCGGCTCTCGTGCTTCCTAGGAAGCAACACGGCGCTCGCTCGGGCAAATGTCACCCCCCCGTGCACACAGACACACACAGGCAGCGGTGTGTGGATGGAGTGTGTGTGCTTTGTTTATGCCAACAACCAACCAATTGAACCACCAACCACAGCCACTCACACCACAAACTGTGATGGTGACGGGCGCAGTTCGCTTGCCACCCCAAAAAAGTCACAGTCACGGCTGGGCTTTGGCTTTCTTACCTTTCGCGAGAGAATAAGCCAGAGAGAACGCGAGAGAGCGAGCAAACAGAAAGCAGCTAGCGAGCGACAGAACGTGTTACGTTACGTTCGCTTACGTTTGACGTAAAGTAATGCCAAAGGGAGGGTGGTTAACGCGATTTTCGAATAAGGGGCGTCTTTCATATGGTGCTGTATGGGTTTGTCAGGCCAAGTACTCAAATGAGGGGAATATATTCGAAGTTCGAATTGATTTCGAATGCTTGTGAGTAATTTCTATGCTTGGGAATCAACAATTGTTAGTTGCTTGCAATCTCCCCTTTGGCTTAGGAATATGGAAAAATCACTCTTTATGGTGCATAAAGACAATATAAGTTATATTTAAAAGATAATATTAAAAAAAAATAATGGCTTTCAAGCATTTTACTTCTTATAAATACCATTTTTCCTCCTATTGATTATATTAAACTTTATATTAAGCTAAGACGTCCCTCAACTCGCCTTTTACAATGCTCAATATGAAATTTTGGGGAGAAACCATTCAACCTCCTTTAACTTGACACCCATCGCAACGTTTTTTCAACTCGTTACGCTTGGCATTTAAGCTTGGAGCTCCCAAACCTTCAACTTGGCCCGCTTAACACACCCACTCAAAACAACGGGAATCCGAGTTTAGCCTTGAAACAAACTGTTCCGGCTCCAGCAAACATTTGCCACTGGCCTTGATGTCCCCCATGTTACACAGAGTTGGCTCATCCATTATGATAAACCACTTCCTGCTAGTTTGCAGTCCACACACTAAAACAAATGGCATTTCGAGTTGTTACAATTTAAAAGAGGAAAGAAATATTGTCAGCGGAATGCCAAAGATTTAATACACTTGTTTAGGTATATTAGAAAATAAGGTATATGTAAAACACTTCTAACAGCAAATATATTGTTGCAAGTCTTGTCCATTAGCTGAGAACTCACATATTCAAACTTAATTTCGAATTTTATTAACCAATAGAAGTCCTTTAAATAATTTAATTTGGAACCGACCAACAATGTAAGAATTTTAATTTATTTGATACAATGTTTGCTTATCCACTTATCTTTTCGTTATGAACAGAAGGATATATATTTATATATATAGACCTTATTGCAACTGCCTTGCAAACTGCACGACAAATTTAGAATACCCTCGGCACAAAAAACGGTATATATAAAAATGCCAAACGAGCTTTTTGCCGCTTGTTGCTTGTTGCTAGGGGCGCTCCACGTTTCAATGTCAGTGCCAAGGCCAAGTGGCTGCCATTTGTGTGGTAAATGGCACATAGCAAATTTGCCTCCTCCAAAGCTTTGCTGAATTTGTTTCAAGGACACGCCGGCCGGCAACGAGCGTCCCTTCAATTTTCCTTTTTGTGCGTGTGGCCTTGACAGTGAAAATCGTTTAGGGCGCGCTCCCTACTGGTTTGCTGCGTGGGCGGCTCTAAGCATTTGATTTTGACACAGTTGATAGCACGTGCTCTTTATGTTGGGTATTATAAAGCTGTCAAGGTCGTTGGGTATTGATTAAATGTGCAGAGAGTTGTGTGTACAAAGTCAAAAAGGTTATGTTTGCAAACGGTAGAATGTCTTAAAGTCAGCTTTTGGCTTTAAAGACGCATTCATTATTTATTCGTCAGCTATAATTTCTTCTGCACAATTTGCCATATCAATATATCCCACCTGCTGCAACTCCACATTAAGTGAAGAGTTTAATCTGAACGGCAACTGCGCCCAAACTAGCTGCCTGCCGCTTGCAACTTGCAACGCTGCTTATCAGCAATAAGCAGCTGCCGCAGCTGTTAACTGCACTTGAAGCTCATTAAAAATTTGCAGCAGCCAAGTTGGCAGTTATTTGCGTAGCGCCAGGGAAAATGCAATAAAAGTGCGCTCGGCATATGAAAAGCTGCCACACACGACGGCAATGAAATCCAAAAGTGCACTTTACACATTTGTGCGTAATGATTTTCCATTAACGTAAATTTGAATTAACAGCGGAATGAAGAGTATAAACGTAATTACAAGAATGCCAATGTTAAAACAACACGCGCCACCCACACTACCCGCGAGCCTACCGACGAACCGGTGGTCGGGCGTTGCTCAGGCAATTGATAAATGCCAATGGCATTGACTACCCTCAGAGGTCCACAGTTGAATACTCAATCCTTTGGCCGACTCCTGTGCTGGCACGGAGGCGTGGTTCGAGCCTGATTGTCACACAAAATGTTGCGGCTGCTGACATGAACTTCTCTACTCCCGACTCGGCGTGCTAGGGATCCTTCTGGCCCCACTCCCACCGCCCGGCTGCTGTTTATGGTAATTATTTATTTTGGACAGCCGTTGCCGCATTTGTATAGACTTTTCATCATTGCCATAAACATAAAATTTTATGTTAATGATCCTGTCTTCTGTTGGTTGGTTATGTTGCTTTTGTTATTGCTCTGTCTGTTTCATATTGCATTTGTTGCTCTTAATGTGCTTTGCCCAGTGGGTGGAGTCAGAGGTTTGTTGTGATAAGGTGAGAAGTGGAAACTTCGCATTGAATATTCATTGGAATTTCGAAATTTGAAGAGGTTTAATGAAAGTCTTAGTCGATTCAAGCAAGGACAGAAATCTGTTAACGATTCCAGATCTTAAACGAGATGTGCTTCACGGATTATATTGAGTAACTAAAATTGGGGTAATACAAAAAATGCCTTTAAGATATATATACAAGAAATAGTTATAGTCAGCTTTTGATATAACATATTTTAACTGAGTTAGCTAAGTTTTTTCATAGTTCATAGTTCCCAACAATAAATAGCTGCAAATTTTTCTTCATCAATTTGATTTATAATCGACTTAAAAGTTTTTCTACTGTTTAAATAACTCAGCTATAGAAAAACCACATGTTATGTGTGCTATACATATTTCATGAAATTAAAGCTTTACATTATTATATTTCTGGTTGCCTAGTGAATTGAATTTGAGACAGATGTGTATATGCGTATTCATCAGCTTTCAATTTGCTGTTGCCACAATGAACATTGCGTTTATTGACGGACACCATGAAGCATGGTTTATAATTTGAAATATCAAGAAATTTCCTTTACTTGCAACTTTACCCCATAGCCAAGCACTGTGCATGTAATATCCCTTACTCCACATATGCTACGCAGCACTTGAGCCCCTCGGCTCGAGACCTAAAGAGTCCCAATTGTGCCGCTGTGTGTAACTACTTAAGCCTCATCATCCGCGTTTTAATGCCCATCAGCCAATGCCAGTTCAGCTCACAGTCAGTAACAACAAGTTCATTGTGTGCCCAGCTCTATAAGGACCACAACTTTCCAACAACAACATCAAAACCAACAACACACGCTTACAGATACACATATACAAACACACACTTTCACTGTGCTGTGCAATTATTTCATGCATTGTTCAAGGATTGTTCGACTGCTTTTTGCAAAAATTTTCTTTGTATAACGTGGAAGGCAAAGTGTTGTCAGGGGATTTACGCGTTTACAATGAAGAGGCCAGCAACAGGACGAGTAGCAGGACCTGGCCCGGAGAACCAACGGAAATGGCAACAATGCGCACCAGCCTGTCCGAACAGAAAACAATTGACCGAGGGTTGGGCCGAGAGGATTACGCATCAGTTTACAAGATGCGCTCGGCACTTAATGATTTCCACTTATGCATTGCAGACATCATGACCACGACGACCATGCCCATGCCAATGCCCATGCCCTTGCACATAGAGAAACTCATATTCGATGATGGTTAGCCATTTTCCAAAGTGCATCCAGAGGCCCATCAAGTGTCACTCATTCTACCATATTGCGGCCTGCTGCTGGCACACGGACTTGCAATCCTTTTGCTAATCTATATGTAAATTTTGCACAACAGACAAGATACTTTGGGGCCAGATAACAAGCGTAAGCTAACAAGAGTTCGATAGCCTGTCAACACATCGAATCATTTATACCCTGTATCACGATAATATGTAGATGGCAAAATACTACAACAAGCAGGGTATTATAATTGTGTTTTTCAGCTGAGCCTCAAAGCTCGGATATCTGCTGACCAATACTCAAAGCTTAAATGTACACGTACTCGACATATCCTTAGATACCCTCCTTATTAAGGATATACTTAGTAACAGTCGCAGCCATCGTTTGCAGATGACGTCATGTAAAGTGTTTGACAAATGGCTTTAAAAGACAAAACGCGTTTGGACTAAGACAAAAAAAGCTGACAACATACTAAAAAGTTGACAAAGTGTTGGCAAGTGTCAGGCCCAGGACGACGACCAGGCCAAGGCACGCACATCCTTGCTGCCGTTTTGCATATGTGTCGACTGCTGTCTAAGTGTGCGTAAAAGATAAATAATCATGTGATATCATCAGCATGACGAGGCGATGGCGCTGGAAGCGTTGAAGCGACT